GCAGCGTCAACAATACTACAGTGAGAATAAAAGTTACGCCTTCTTTCTTTGCGTGAACATTTGGGCGGCGTTAAGCAAATCTTCCCACATAGTGAGGTAGACATGTGGGGGCATGTTTAAACGAGACGTTTTAGGAGGGCTTTGACAAGTCTTAACTTTTATAAAGAATATCTCTTTGGGTTTGAGACTTTAGTCTTTGCAGCTTTAGGGATCTTATCTATGCACGAACAGCTTGTAACACTCCAAAGAGAAAGGAAAATTTGAAATTGCATCATATGGCCCCTTTAAATATACTGTTTGGGTCCTCTACCTTCGTGTCACCATGCAGTTTCATGACAAGTATATAAATAATATAATTAATAATAAAGGCCTTCTGAAGTGAAGCGATGCATTTGTAAGAAAAATATCCATATTTAAAACTTTATGAACCGTAATCTCTAGCTTCCGCTAACTGTCGTATGCGCGTTCACGAGAGAGTGGCGTTCCAGTGGATGATGTGGGTGAAGCTCCGGTGAGAATATGCTAGTCTCGCAATAAACAATTTTGGTTACAGCAAAGGAAAACCAGTCTCTGCTTGGCTTATATCGAAATCCTCTGAAATTTTCCTTTACAAATCCTCATTTTGTACTTCTAATTTGTGACTGGTGTTTTGTTTTGCTCTCTCCTCTGTGCTTCCGCATTCGTCACTTCTCACCAGAGCTTACGCAACACCTACATCATATGTCATCTGCTGGAATGCCACTGTCTAGTGAATGTGCGTATGACAGTTAGCATAAGCTAGAGAAAAGTTAAAGTTATAAAGTTTTAAATATTGATATTTTTCTTACACAAAAATTGCATCGATTCATTTCAGGAGGCCTTTATTAACCCCCCAGAGCTGTGTAGAGTATTTTTATGATGGATGGATGCACTTTTTTGGGCTTCAAAATCTCGACCCCCATTCACTGCCATTATAAAGCTCGGAAGAGCCAGGACATTTTTTTTATGTAACTCTGATTGCAATCGTCTGAAAGAAGAAAGTCATATACACCTAGGATGGCTTGAGGGTGAGTAAATCATGGGAGAATTTTCATTTTTTGGTGAACTATCCCTTTTAATTTACCATCTTTTCTTTACAAGTTATCTTATGTCTTCATAACACTTGCTATATAGTGAATAATTTTTTACTGGTGCATTTGTCATTTTTAGACTTGACAGCTTCAGTTCTCCTTCACTTTCTTTAAATGGAAAGGATTAGCCAGGATATTCACCTAAAATTCACCTTTTGTGTTCCATAAAAGAAAGTCATGCTGGTTTGGAACATAATTTTCTCACCCTCATGTCGTTCCAAACCTATATCTGACACAAAATAAGATATTTTGAAGAATGATGGGGTCCTAACAACATTGGACCAAATTGACTTTCAAAATATCTTCTTTTGTATTCCACAGAATAAATAGATTCATACAGGAATGGCATGAGTATTACAAAAATGAGAATTTTTCAATTTTCAATATGTTCATTTACACATTAGGCATTTTTAACACCACTCGTGACAGTTTCTCAAAACAACAAAGCACATCTTGACACATGTTAAATGAGGGTATTTCATTTATTTCTCATTGCTGCATTCTAAAAAGCCACACTGATCTTTTCTCCTGTCTTGTGTGAGATGTTTTTCACTTCCCCCACTGCTGTATTTTTCCATTGCCTCTTCATAACTATGGCAACCCTGATGAGTCGGATATATGGGGCTATAGTAAAAAAAATAAAAACAAACAAATATCGAAAGCTGACTTTTGGCATCATAAAGACATAGACCAGCTCTTGCCATTTATTCGTCTTTACATTTTCCCCGTCAATGGACAGTGAGAGAGAAAGAAAAAAGAGAGAGGTTAACGCTGTACAGTCGACCAACCCACAAGTAGACGTCAACGGCACCTCACCACCTACCAGCTGCTTGCAGTGCAGACAGTGTGTGTGGGAGAAGAGAGATGTGTACATGCTTGGAAGTCTGTAGTGTACTATTCCTTCTATTTCTACACACCACTGATCTGTCCAATACATCTACGTTGCTCTTGGTTGGTCACATCTCGTGCATGCTCATTACTCAGCATGAAAGAAAAAGTGCAACTCTGCATAGCTGGTCATGCGTGTATGCTGTGATTTAGACACTGCTCCTCAGCATGGGATGCTGGTGTCTGTACCAGGCTGGTTAATTAGTAGCGATGTGCAAAACAACATATTTTCAAGATCGTAGTAGTTGTTAGTCTAATTGGTGTTAAAGGGATAGTTCAGTCAAAAATGACAGAACTTGCGACCATAGGTGGCTTACAGTGCTTTTGGGAAACACACCCCTGATCGAATGTATTTTGCACATTGCACAAGTTTTTGTGGTCATGAACAGCTGGATAGAGAGCAGCTCCCCATATATATATGCATTTTCAATAAACACAATGATTTATTGCCGCATTTGGACTTTTATGTGACAATATTTGCAACTATGTGGTAACTATTGCAGCAGTTGTTGTAGTGAGAAAATATGGCAGGATGATTTAATTCATATTTTGGCATAGTATGTTTTATATGTATCCTTAATAGAATAGACTTTTTAAACACAGGTTAGACATTTTTAGTAAGTTGGGATTTTTTTTTTAGTTATGCCAATTGTGAATTAGAATAACATCATTTGTTTTTGTTACCTATAAAGCAAACTGTTTCTTTGGCATATGCATATTTAATGTAATCATTATTGTTTCACGGTCTTGCTTGGTTTATTGCTTGGTCAGGGCATTTTCTAACGACTGCTTTCTGTATATCAATATGAGATGACTGTAAAGTGTGGAATACTTTTGTGTAATCCTGGATTTTCAGCAAAATGATAAAAAGATTAGGCCTTTTTTTGTTTGTTTTTGCTATTTCAAATATCTGAATGAAGTGAAAGTTATGGTAGCAGGCAATGCTTTTAAGGTAGTCTTTAGTGAATTTGTAAGAACCACATTACCAATATATATGGGCTTAATTCAGGCACACTGGGGTCCAGTTTTAAACATTGAGATAATATTTATTTATTCATTTTAATCTTTAAATCTTTAACCTTGATAGGGTATATAGGCTCGACATGTTCCACATACAATGGGGAAAAAAAGCATTATTTGTGGCAATCTAATCACTGAAAATGTGTACATGTTAAAAAGTATTTTGTTTTTCCAGATTCTTTAATGTCACTGAATGTGACGTATGTGCACTGTAGTCTTCATCTGTGTAAGAAGAGACTAAGAAGGCACCGTCTCATAATTAATTATTCACGACACAGCGTGATCTTTGACAGGTGCTTCAAGCAGTGATTTGATTGTTACATGTTCCCTGTGTGTGCGCTGCCCATTTGCTGTGTGCCTTGTCTCCATAGTTACCCTCATTGACCACACCCATACCTTGTTTGTTGTCATGGTTACTTATTGGTCCCTTTTGTTCTCCAGTGTATATAAAGCCATTGTGGGGTTTTTTTGTCAGTTGTTTAATGTAATGTTCCTGTTCCTTGTGCCCTCAGCGTTTATGTTTGCTGTTTTGTTTCATTTATTAAATTCCTGCATTTAGATTCATGTCTCTGCCTGCCTTCTCTCCCAGCAACATTACATTAATACTGTATTGAAGGAAGGGTTGTAATGGACTCTATGCATAGCACGCAGCCTACATATTTCCGGTGAAATCTCAGGGCGTTTAAAAGCTTCCGGTCTGCATTCAGCCATAGCGTGAGTGCATTACTAGCCGACATTTTTTGTCAATGAACGATTAATATAAAATATTTATACTTTTTTTTTTTTATTTATTTTTTTTATATAATATAACACATTAAGTATACCACAGTAATATAATACAAAACTTATTTAATGATTATTTCCATGAAGTTTAAACATTTGTGAGGGTTGCTTGTCCCGTCTTGTGAGGTTTCCCAAAGGTTTTTCCTTACTTCTCCCCTGCAATAAGTGGATTTTATGTATTAGATGTGAGGATTTTAACATCACTTCTGATCCTACAGTCTGCAGTCGCCACTTCAAGAATGATGACAACATATGGTTCTACACTAGGTAAAATCTAAACCCTTATATACATTATTATAATACAGAGCACAATGTAGGCCTATTGTGATTTTTTTGTTGCTGTGGTTGCCTGTTTATTTAAAAACCTCTTCTGTGGGTTTGGGCAATACGTGTTAACAAGTTAGATGATTCACCCAAAAATAAAAATAAAGCTGTCATATACTCACCTTCATGTCTTGTAAATCCATATGTTTTTGTTTTTTTATGGGCATAAAGAAATGTTGTAAATAATGTTAGTGTCAGTCAGCTATTCATATATATATATATATATATATATATATATATATATGTATGTATATATATATGTATATGTATATGTTTTTTTCCCCACAGAAGAAATTCATAATGGTTTAGAATGAAACGAGGGAGAATAAGCTAAAACCCCAGCTAAAATATTTTTTTCATAAGAGTACTTGCATGTCAATACATTATACATTTTTAAAGTAACCTTCAGGTTCAGTGTAGACAAACTAACTTGCATTATTACATTTTGTAGTGTGTATTTTCTGAAAACATGTCTCACATCCAATCTAGTTTTGTGACTTACAACCAATGGCCTTTTGGAGACTTATTGAACCTACATCCCACAACATGGTTCATGTGACCAGAGCAAGGACAACTATAACGAGGAGTGAATTTGGAAAACAAGCAATGCAATGGTAAACATTGATATTGCATTCTTTGAGACAGAGAAAGAAAATGTTTATTTTTCTCTCTTGATGCACAAGTTGCATGCATTATATGTACCATAATTATTTAAAATGTATTTTGACCGTGTCAGTCTCTGCAGCCAATCGATGAGTTCTTCCTCTTCATGGTTCACTTTTCAGTTGGTCTTCCACAGTGAGATCTGGCCTTACACAAAACACTTGGGATGGATTAATTTGGTTGTATTTGTAAAGACTGTAATATAAAATGTAAACTAAATATAATGTAAATATTGGTAACTTTGGTACAGTGTAATGGTTATGTAAAATACAAATACTAATAACTGCGATAGAGTAATTGGTATGTCATTTTTAACACTTCTGCCACTTAAAGGATTGATAGGTCAGGCAGCTCACCACTATAAAGTGTTCTTTTGAGTTGAAAAACAAAGGTACAGGGTAAATTGACCATTTAAAAATAAATGTTCCACTGTCATTACATGTTGCATACATTATGAGCAGTGCCAGATCCAATATGATTGTTTTTTTTATGCTAGAGCTAACATATAGGCACGTTATACATTATGAATATAGCAAAGATATGAAAAGATGATGTAACAGCATTACACAGTTTAACCACTCAGCGAGTTTCCTCTCTTTTGGTCTTGTAAACAGGACCACCATCCCACTGACACGACCTGGCTTGACTCTCTAGGCACACCAATGGGGCATGTTAATATTATTAATCAAAGTTTATTAAGTCATTCATTAAAGTATTTGATAATTCTCTTACTTACCCCTTACCATTGTTCTAGGTTTGTGCCAGCTCTGCTCCATTTTAGTGCAGCTCTGTACAGGAGGAAGTGCACTCATTTCCAGTTCTGAATAGTGTGCTGTAACAATACGGATGCACACTGCTGTCCCTGCAACAAGAACAACAGGCTGGGAATCTTTTAAAACAACCTGTGAAGATAATTCATTATTGGGTTATATATTGAATTGAATTCAGATGCATTTTGAATTACTTTCAGTTGCACTTTAAATTGTATATTAAATTATATTTAACGTTAAATTATGTAGACTAGTCTATATAATGTTACAAACATGTCAATACACTGTAAAAAGTGCTCAGTAATATTTCCCTCTTAACCATTTCTGATCTTGTTTGCTTTTTTACTGAACAGCTTCACCATGTTTGTGTTAGGGATCCCTGGAAAACTGCTATATTAAATGTAACAATCAATTCAAGCTTCAGGTTACAGATAATAAAACAGTTGAAAATATAAGAATGAACTGTCAGACTTAAGGTGTATTAAGATACATAGCAATCTAAAAATGGGAATGGTATTTAAAATACTTTATATCAAGTGAAGACGTTCCTATTACAGCAAACCACCTATCAGAGCCACAGATACAAACAAATATGGATTATGCTGTTGTTATTGCTACTATCTCTTAGAGGAGTCATAAAAACTTGAGGTGAATGGAGTTTAAGCTTAACTCTATTTAAGTGCTGATCAAATCAGCGCAAAAGTCATGCAGCGTTATCCAGCCTTATTAAAGGTGGGGTAAGTGATTTCTGGTAGCCAATGTAGACATTTGAAATCACCAAAACAAACATGCCCCTACCCCAAAAGGGTCTCGCCCCTATTTTGATAGCTCCGCCCCACACATACGTACGCAACCCAGGCAACGATTAGTTCTGTGAAACAAAGCAAAACCAATGTTACACCGTGTCTACACCGGATGCGAATGGCGCGGTGCGACAAAATACTATAGAACTCATTATAATCAGTGATGCTGTCTACACCATAGATATATATATAAATATCTATGGTCTACACTGGATGCGGCGCGACATGACAAATCCCCGACAGAAAACTGCTGCTGCGTTCTTTTCATGACATATTGACACATTTCAAGTGATTTTCAACGGTCGCTTTGTTGCGTCCAGTGTACTAGACAGACTTTAGCGGTTGCGGCGCAGACACGGTGTTACTCACCTATCGAGAAGAAACAAAGCAACCTCAGCGTCCGATCGCAGGCCTTCCGCTCCTTGAGTTCTCCAGTGCTGGAAAGCTGATCCGATATTTACACGGGTCCTACTGCTTTCCTTAAGCCTTCTTTTCTTCTGTAGACGTTTTCTTCTTGTTTTTTTTATCCGCCATCTCTATCTTTCTGATGCTCGGCTCGGCTAATGTCTGTCCTGTGCACTGAACGCTCTCTCCTCCACATCATGAGTAGACACGCCCCTTACTGCTGATTGGCTACAAGTTTGTTTTGCTACTCGGCCCGAATCGGTTTTCTAAAGCGTTTTTGAAAAATCGCTTAACCCACCTTTAACTTAGCTAGATTTGCTAGAAGACAATAGCACAATACTCACCCTAAAGTTGTCGATGTAACTTGAAACGTTTAATGCCCTTCTCCGTTTTGGTTAGCTGACAGACTCGCAATGTGATGAAATTCATTTACAGTAATCCAGGGAAGTTCTAGTAAGCTGAAAAATCATCTTCTCCTCTGTCATTTTGAAAGCTCTGCGTAAGGAACAATGGCTTCCGGCGCAGCACCGGATGTAAATAAACACCCTGAGAAAAACTGCGGAAGTGACCGTTCATAGAGTCTATTGTTCGATTACATGATGCAAAAACATGAAGATTTTGCATGGTTTCCCAAGCAATGGCCACAGAACGACAGGCTTTCGATCAATGACTGACACGTTTGAAATGTGAGTTTCCAGATTCAGGATAAGATAAAATGAGGATTGTTTGTAACAAGACATGGTCTGATGTTGGTAGTTTGGGTTTACAAACACCATCCATTTTTTTTACTGCGAGTGTGTTCGAAACAAATATGCACTAACATTCAAAAGTTTGGGGTCTGTAGATTTTTGATGATTTTTGATAAATAGTGAAACATTCTTACAAATTAAAATAACTGTTTTCCATTTTAATCTATTTTAAAATGTAATTTATTCCTGCGATGGCAAAACTGAATTTCAGAAATCATTCTAATATCCTGATTTGCTGTTTAAGAACCATTTCTTATTATTATCAATGTTTAAAACAGTTGTGCTGTTTAATGTCTTTGTTGAAACTGTGAAACACACACACACACAAGTAATTTTATTAGCCCAGCTCTGCTTTGTTGGAGAGCATCATTTGGAGCAGTGAAGCTGGAGGCCAGCAGGTCTTAACATTTACTGGTTGACACACATCTGAGGTCTCAGTGGTCGTGGGAGGTGGGGAAAACTAATGATGCTATACCTGAAGAAATTGGCAACATTTCCTCTTGTGATTTACAATCCAAACCAGGTACCCTGAGGACAAGAGCACAGCATCTGCTCAGACACCAACATCTGAAGACCTGGTGGAGGTCTACCTCTTCTAACTTTAGTACATGACATTTTTTGTTTCATCTGGGAAGAATCAGTAGAGGGGAAGAAAAAACAGCCATATATGCCTTTCCATGTTTGTTAAAAGAACAGAGCTATTTAAGCAGGAATTTGTTTTGACAGATTTTAATGGAGCCGTTAAGAAATGCATATGATGTTATTGCTCTCTTTGTAGCAAAAGCATCAAATCAACAAAACAAACACTACCGTTCTTTTGGTTTTATTTCAGATTAGTCTTATCACTGTGTGATTAAATGGGTCTGCGTCCCTCCTGTAATCCAGCTGCAGTGAATGAGTTATGTCTGCAGGCTAATCATTTGCTGTAGCCTTGTACTTATCTTGTATGAGTGAAAAACACATTAGTCAAGTCAAGTCAAGTCACCTTTATTTATATAGCGCTTTTAACAATACAGATTGTGTCAAAGCAACTG